CCCTGTTTACTTTTCATGCCACATACCACTTCCACAGTCCTCCACCTTCCTTTCAGCAGCATCAATTTCCAAGTACAGAAACACAAACCAAATCATTTGAATCCTTTATAGACAACACAAATTCGTTTTGAATCTATCAGAAATCGCTACGAAATCATTTGCTTGCTTTTTACCATCGAATTACAACACTCCATTTATGTTCAACTTATGTTCCTTTACACATGGTTGTTTTAAGAAAAGATTAATACATATTAACCGTTAGATGCCTGAATGATTTTTTTAATTTTATTTTGAATTAAATGTTGATTAGTTGTATGGTTTGTTCATAGTGTAGTGTTGTGATTTCATAGAATACTAGAAAACAAAGAATATTTTTAGGAAATAAGTACCATAACGGTATCCAAAAATATGTTTATTCACACAATATAATATGCAAAAAAGTAATGGTTCCCATATGTCTGAGACAAACTTGGTCAAATGTTGTGTATTGTATTATATCAATAATCACGTACTTAAGGAGTATATATAGATCATACAAGTACACTTTGCATCCCTATAATGCTAAAGTATTTTATAATTGTCTAATAGTCCCCCGCAAGCTAAGGCTAGGGAGCGACCTGTAGCTTGGATCTTTACCCAGCAAGCCGTTGGGATGACAATGGCTTTATAAAAATATATGCAATGTGATCATGTGTTGAAATGAATTGTACTGAGAGTTTCTGTAGACCTACCTTTTCTCTGACAAAATGGAAATTAACCTCAACATGTTTCTTCCGAACATGAAAGATTGGATTTGTTGATAAGTATGTAGCACCCAAATTATCACACCACAATACCGGGACAGATGTCATAGAAACTTTGAGCTCCTGGAGAAGAGCTTCAAGCCAAGTGAGTTCAGCTACAATGTCAGCTACGACTTTGTACTTTGATTTCATTGATGACCTAGAGATTGTTTTTTGGCCGACCAAGATATGAGATTGTTGCCAAGATAAATGGCATACCCCCAGTGAATTGACGCTTATTCAGGCAACGAGCCCAGTTAGTATCTGAAAAAGCACTCAAGGAAGGAGCATGAGAATCGGTGGATACATGAAGGACAAACCCTGTGTTCTGTTTGATGAGAACACCATAGTCGGATGTTCCTTGAAGATAATGAAGAATCCTTTTAACTGTAGACCAATGATTTGTAGTAGGAGAATGCATGAATTGGCAAACCTTGTTGACATTATTTAAATGGGTCATTGCATAAGGGATTGTCACCGAGGTACAAATTTGCAGTGGTAGTAATCGGAGATGATACCGGTTTAGCATGAGATAGATTTGCCCACTGAAGTAATTCTAAAATATATTTCTTTTGAGATAAAATAATGTCAGGGTTTTTGTGAACCACTTCACTGCCTAAAAATATGAAAGAGTTCCCAAATCTTGAATTGTAAAGGTTTGACTCAGCTTTTTAATGATATGATTGATGGTAGCAGATTTGTTACCGGTGAGTATAATATCATCAAAATAAACTAGCATATACAAGTTGGTGCCCTTAGATGAATAAAAGAAAAGAGAGGGGTCGAACTTTGAGCAACGAAAGCCAAGAGCTTGTACATCCTTTGTTAATCGATGAAACCACTCACCGGGCGCTTGTTTGAGTCCGTACAAAGATTTATGATGCAAGCATAGATGAATAAAAGAAAAGAGAGGGGTCGGTCTTTGAGCAACGAAAGCCGAGAGCTTGTACATCCTTTTTTAATCGATGACACCACGCACGGGGCGCCTGTTTGAGCCCATATAGAGATTTATGAAGCAAGCATAGATTATGAGGCTTTAGGGGATCAACAAAACCAGGTGGGTGTCATAAGTAAACAGTCTCTTGGAGTTTTGCATGCAAGAAGGCATCTTAAACATCCGATTGTCGTAGAGCCCATTTCTGCGTAACAGCAAAGAGAAATCATTGTACGAATAGTAGTAGATTTTACAGCATGACTAGATGTTTCAGTGTAGTCATTACTTGATCGTCGATTGAACCCTTTTGCAACAAGACGTGCTTTGTACCAAGTGATTTTCCCGGTTTGATATGTTTTTAGTTTGTACACCCATTTGCAATCAACTACATTCGTATCCGGAATAGGTGGAACAAGAGACCATTTTTTATTGTGTATTAGCACATGATATTATTCATTCATGGAAACTTGCCATTTTGATGATTTGTTGGAATCGAAAAAGGTTGTTGTTTCGAAAGTAGAGAAGTCAGTGTGGGTGGCGAAGGCATATGGGTCGAATGGAACTCGTGGTTTAGGATTTAGGCGAAGACTGGATGGTCAAACTCCAGGAGGCAGTTGATGATTATGAGAAGTATCAGTGGAGGTAGCAGGTGGAGTTACATGTGATGTGGTATTAAGAGCAGTAGATGTAGATGGGCTTGTGGGTGGGGTGTCATTAGAAGAAGTTGGGTTGTTTGGTGTGGTGTCAGTAACCGGTAGATTGTCGGTTAAAGTTTTAGGGATAGTTTCGGATGGGTGTAGCATAACTGGATATGGGTCGGAAGGTGTAGGTGTCACAGATGGAGGATCGGTTTGTTGAAAGGGGAAGTTTTGTTCAACAAAACGACCATGACGGGCAGTGTACATGTGATCAATAGTAAGATCGAGACACCGGTGACCATGGTGATCGGGACTGTAACCGAGAAACACACATGGAAGGGAACGAAAATCCATTTTGTGTTTTATATGGACAAATATGAGGATAAGACAAACCACCAAAAACACACAAGAATGAAAAATCGAGTTTGTGAGAGAAGGTTTGTTCAAGAGCAAACATATTGGATGCGTTACCGGATGGCATGTGATTGACTAGGTAAACAACAGTGTCATAAGAAAAGTGCCAAAAACGAGATGGAACACCGGATTGAGCAAGCAAAGTGAGTCATGTTTCCACAACGTGTCGATAACGATGTTCAACAAAGCCATTTTGCTCAATCGTATGAGGACATGAACATCTATGAGTAATGTCGAGTGTAGAAAAGAAATTAGCAAGGTTTCAAAATTCTCCACCCCAATCAATTTGGACAAATTTAAGTTTTGTGTTAAAATATCATTCAACCATAGCTACGAAGTGTTTAAAGTGAGCAAACACATCATATTTATGTTTTAAAGAGAAAAACCCCATGTAACGAGTAAAATGATCAACACAAAGTAGGAAATAGTTATGTCCAACAGAGGAGGTAATGGGAGAAGGTCGCATACATCACAGAAAAATAAATCAAAAATGCAAGAACTTTTAAATTCGATAAAGGCAAAGAAAGTTTAGAGGATTTTCCTACATGACATGCATTACAAGGAATACCTGCAATTACAAGCATAACCAAATCTTTTTCTTTAAAAGCTTCACCAGTGTTGGATAAAGCATCAGCATACGCTTTTTCCCTATCGAGATAGACTTCTTATGTTTCATCACCTTCATTTGTATCTTCAATAACTGTGTTTTGAGAGTGTATTCACTGGAAGACGTGTAAGGAGAGTAGGCACAAATTTTACAAATTTTACAGATATAGCAGAAGCAAACAATAGATAACAAATGGTCACAAATTTTACACGAAGGCTGAAGCAAACCATTTCAAAAATCAGATACAAATCAACAGATTTCAATCTCAAACTAAAGAGAAGTCAGATATAAAAATCCAATAGATCTTTCAGAAATTGACTCTTTTTTGCTGTAATAAAATAGAGAAAAAAATAAAATAGATAAGAATAAAGTAGATTTCTGAATCAAACCTAAATAAACAAAATTTGAACTAAAATAGAGAAAAATCGAGTCTAGTAAAACTTGAACAAGCCATTCATTACAACAACCAACAAGAATCAATTTTATTTCTGAAACAAAAAGCAAAAACACTAAAGATAAATCACTTCAAAAACTAGAATGAGAACAAGAAAAGGAAATCGGAATAAGGGAAATTGAACTCATCTAGATCAGAATCACACCCAAATAAGAGTCGTTGTATCATAACAATGTATCTTGGACCTAGAATGCTTGCAAGTTGAATCACGATCTTTAACCATAGAGAAATCAGATATTAGAAAACATAACTTGAAAAATAAAGAAATTGGAATGTTTAGAAACTAGAAATCAGAGAATCAGAATAAGTTAAAGATTGAATTGAAACTTGGGAGCTATATATTATCGACTGAATATGAAAAATTCAGAAATCGATTCTTACTCTTTATTTATCAGAGACATAAGGTGATTCTAGGGCATCAAATTCTCCAATCGATAACAACATGTTTCAAAGCGCCGGACGTTTGGATTTTCTATACGCCATTGATGAACGCTCGATGATTGTCTGGCGCCTAAGGTTTTCTTGCCCTCCTTTCTCACGTCCGGAGAGATCACAAGATATGGGGCTATTTTTTGGGCCACTTTATATGTAAAAGAACCATAGCTGGATGCCCCCATAAATTTCCTGCTCTGGGCCTAAGCCCAAGTTGCCTAGGTACTGAGCCGGGCCCAATATAACTAGTTAATCTCGCTATGATGTCATCAGAAAAGTTGGTCAACATTAGATATCATGTCTCTGGAAAATTATGATGTCTATCAACATTAATAGCCCTTGTTTTAGTTCTTTCAAGATTCCAGTAACAATAGTCACACATGACAAATAGTTTGCAAATTCTTCCATGATCGATTGAGAATCCATATAACTACGGCTGCCATTTCGCTACTCCCAGTAGACATGCAAGGGAGGTTCAGATGATGAAGCTTTTATACTTGCATTAATGAGTCTTGATTTGTTCTTTGTTAGGAATGTAACAAAATAAGATGATATATAGCACTTGTATGTCATATTTTTCAAGTAAATGTTTAAGATAAGAAAGACCCTGATTACTAACCTGCTTAAACATTAGGCCAATGGCAGGGGAAAAATGTTTTACATTTATGGCAATGGTAATTTGTATATGCTGATTTTAATCATGTTTGTTAGGGTTAACTAATGACTTGTTGATCTCTTTGTAGAAACCTTGTATATTACTTTTCCACTTCAAAATTTCACCTCGAAATAAAGGCAAAACTTGTGTAGCTAACACTTTTTTCCTGTATTGAGTAGAAGGATTGCAATCATCCTTGGCATTCAATTGTATACATATAGTCAGGAGCATCATAAGAAACTACAGAAAAATTAAGAACATCGAATGTACACTTTATCAAGCTGAAGATGTCAATTCAAAGCAGATTCTAATTAACAGATTTGAAGCTTGGTGCATTGTTGGCCTTTCATGTGGATTTGAGTTCAAACATGCTCTTGTGAGAGTCAACACCGACTTAACTTGTTTCTCAATTTGGGATGACGGAGGAGGTATCCGGCTATCTCCCACATTTGCTAACACCAAATAATCAGCAGACAATGTTGGTAAAGATGTTATCAGTTCTCCAGGATGTTTTCCCATCACCACTTCTAGTGCAACAACTCCAAAGCTATACACATCACATTTCTCAGATGCCACCATTGTATAAGCAAGCTCTACATCCCAAGAAACATAAGATAAAAACAAAAAAGGTATATCAACCTCACAAGATTCTAACATATATACTTATATATATTACAAAACTTAAGATGTAGAACTAAAATCACAAGATTACGTTACCTGGCGCGATATATCCATAGGTGCCTGCAATTGTCGTCCAGTTTGATGAGTCTAGCTTTAAAAGCTTGGACGTGCCGAAATCAGATATATGTGCCTCATAATCAGAATCAAGAAGGATGTTGTTGATGGAAATGTCTCTATGAATTATAGGAGGTGAGCAGTCGTGATGCATATAAGCCAAACCATTAGCAACAGCCTTTACAATATTGACCCTTTTCAACCAATCCAATTCTTTTGCTAAGACATCACTTTTTAAGATTGATCCAAGGCTTCCCTTTTCAAGGTATTCATAAATCAAAAATGAGTGATGGGGATGGGAGCAATATCCATAGAGTTTCACTATGTTTCGATGCCTTATGTTCGTTAATGTTCGTACCTCATTAAGGAATCCATTATGATCAACATTCTCAGATGATGAGTGAAGTTTCTTGACAGCTACCACATTGTTAGGCTGTAGCTCAGCTTTGTACACAGTCCCATATCCTCCGGTTCCAATAGCATATACTTCATCAAAATTGTCCGTTGCTTTCAAGATGTCATCATACACTACTCCTCCATCAAAAGTTGTTATGGAGAAGTAATCACCACCTTCATTATCCAATGGTTTCTGTAGAGAATGTCTCTTTTGTTTTCGATAAGCAATGAGGCCACACATGAATAAACCAAGTAAAGTTGCCCCGATAAGAGGGAGCATAATTAGTAGGATGAGCTGATGATGAAAGGGATCATTTTTCTTCTTCAGGATTTGACTTGCACAAAGTTCCACTCCCGTAACATTTCCACACAAACCTGGATTGCCTTGTAGGGACGCATTCACAAAGTTGGCGTTAGCGGGAACCGGACCTGAGAGCTCATTGTAAGAAAGGTTGATATCAATCCCAAGAGGCAAACTTGTGAAAGCTTCAGGAATAGAACCAGATAGTCTATTGTGAGAAAGATCCAATTTTTGTACATTTTGCAAACTTTGAACTTCAGATGGTATATCTTTTGTGAGAAAATTCTGAGATAAATCAAGTTCCGTAAGTTGAACTAATTTACCAATCTCACCTGGAATTTTCTCACTAAGCTGGTTATTACTAAGATTCAAGTGATGGATGTGTGCCCAATTACCAATGCTTTTGGGTATCGACCCATTCAATCTATTTGTGGATAGATCTAGTTCAAGGAGTTCACGGAATGACCCGAGCTCCAGAGGTATATTACCTGACAGTTGGTTATCAGAAATGTACAAATATAACATACTTTTCATCTTCTCAAATGCTTTTGGGATCTCACCAACCAAATTATTTGAAGACAGATTAAGCCTTCGTAGTTGAGTTGAATTCGTAAACTCGGAAGGAATAGAACCACTAAGTTGATTGTGGTTCGCCATAAGCTGAGTCAGGGACTTCATATTTCCAAGTTCAACAGGAATTGGACCAGATAATTTATTCTCGTGGAGGTACATAGTCTTTAGGTTGCTCATGTTTGCTAGTGATGATGGAATAGAACCACTAAGTTGATTGCCGCTCACCACCAATTCTTCAAGAGACTTCAAATTCCCAAATTCAATAGGAATGGCACCTGATAATTTATTGTATTTGAGGTACAGATATTGTAGGTTGCTCAGGTTTGCTAGCAATGAAGGAATAGAGCCAGTCAGATCATTGTCGCTCAATATAAGATCAGTGAGAGACTTCAAATTCCCAAGTTCAATAGGAATGATACCCGATAATTTATTCCCTTTAAGGTACAATGTCTGTAGCTTGCTTAAGTTTGTTAGTGATGAAGGAATAGAACCACTAAGTTGATTTTTGCCAACCTGAAGATTAGCGAGAGACTTCAAATTCCCAAGTTCAATAGGAATGGGTCCAGATAATCTATTCTCATGGAGGCGTAGAGACTGTAGGTTGCTCAGGTTTCCTAGTGATGAAGGAATGGAACCACTAAGTTGATTGTAGCTCATGGAAATTGAATTGAGAGACTTCAAATTCCCAAGTCCAATAGGAATGGGACCAGAGAGTTGGTTTTTATACAAAAAAAGAATATTCAGAGATGTCAAACCACCCAATGATGAAGGAATAGAACCACTAAGTTGATTTTTGTATATCACAAGATGAGTGAGAGACTTCAAATTGCCAAGTTCGATAGGAATGGGACCAGATAATCTATTCTCATAGAAGCGTAGAGACTGTAGGTTGCTCAGGTTTCCTAGTGATGAAGGAATAGAACCACTAAGTTGATTTTTGTATACCACAAGATGAGTGAGAGATTTCAAATTCCCAAGTTCAATAGGAATGGGACCAGATAATCTATTCTCATAGAGGTGTAGAGACTGTAGGTTGCTGAGGTTTCCTAGTGATGAAGGAATAGAACCACTAAGTTGATTTTTGTATACCGCAAGATGAGTGAGAGACTTCAAATTGCCAAGTTCAATAGGAATGGGACCAGATAGAAGATTTTTGTACAAATAAAGGGTATTCAAAGATGTCAAATCACCAAATGATGAAGGAATTGAGCTAGATATATTGTTCGAGTCTAGGTACAAGTTGGTCAGCTGGTGCAGGTTTCCTATTTCAGGTGGAATTACTCCAGAAAACATATTCAATGAAAAATCAAGATATACAAGTTTGGACAAGAGTCTGATTTCTGGTGGGATGGTGCCAAAGAAGTTATTCTCATAGAGATCAAAATGCGTAAGATTGTGTAGCAAAGAGAATGGAAATTGGTGGAGTGTACCTTTTAAGCCTGATGAACTGAGGTTCAACCTCTGAATGCTCCCAACAGCATTGCAACCTACTCCAAACCAAGAAGTGCATGGAAATGATGTCATGGAATTCATAGGGAATGGAATCCATGAAGAGAGCAAGGAGTTGTGTGGAATTTCAAGGTTTTCTTTCCATTTGAGAAGACCATTGGCTTCCTCCAAAGTAGCAGAAGCAAAATTCGGTATGAGGGAGAGTGTGATGATTAGTAGAGTTACCGAGAAAAACAAGAAGTTTGAAGACAACATTATTTGCTTTGCTGTGTTACTTTTACTAAAAAAGGATGGTTTACATATCCTAATTTATACTTGAGCTACCTTTTTCTCTTGTTTTCTTTTTCACATACTCGAAAAGGAAAATTGGGCAATGTCATATTTTTCAACAAAGGAAAGTATTGTTAGCCGCCAGTGTCGTACTTATCCACAAAGGAGTGTATTGTCAGAAGTCAGTGGCATATTTTTCCACAAAGGAGTGCTTGACAATTTGGATTGTATATTTCATGAATTGTATATTACATGACATTAATCTTTTTTCATTGAACAATGAAATTCTTTGTAAACCGAAATATATCAAGGCGCCAGGATTATAAAAAGACAACATGAGTTATTACATGTTATTGTTGTATTTAACAGTGTAATAATTCAACTTATATAACTTGATTATCTAGACGTATTTATTTTTGTTTTTCAGTTAATGCTTTAATAGATGTTTCACTAAAAGTGTGTTTTGCTTCATAATCAATTCTGTAAATGATGACTGATTATTATATAGATGATTGTCACTTCAAATTAACTGTGTCAATGAGTCAATGGAGATGGAGACGTAAGTCCCCTTTAAAAGAATCTTAAAAACAAATGAACAAGGTAAAATAATATTTTCCCATTTTCCTTGAAAGTGTGAATAAGCGACAAGAAGATAAATATGAAGATTATTAAATGAAAGCTGATGGTTCTTATTGTTTCATGGATTTATTGCATCTGTTCATCCTTTAAACGTCTCATACTTGCATAAACTTAAAAATGAAGATAATTAAATAAAATATGAAATACAATTATATTATTGTTTTTTTCTCATCTTTTCCACAACTGATTAGTTTACGCAAATCTTTAGAATTCCTCTGCACGTCACATTTCTTGATCAATTCTTTTTCCTAGTGTCCTTATCTTCACATTTTAGTAACAAAACAGATTTTTTGATGGAAATAGGAGTGCACTATAACTACAATCAAATTGTTAGACATATTTAATTTTGTTTTCCAAGTGATTCTAAATAAAGTTTCATTCTAAAAACAAATGTACCCACCAAATTGATCAAATTGTGTAGTTGTTTTCTGAAATCAAACTTTTCATAAAATGGCTTTTTGATGCATATATTGTGAAAATGATGCAACTTCTATTTTTTTAGGATTTTTCTAAAGACAAAACTTGTAGAGAGAGAAACAAAACAAGTTCTAATGATATCAACTCTTGGGGATCCATTTATCTCATTTAAACTCACATGATGTCAATTGAGTTGTAACAATCATGAATCTCTTAAATCATCATATATAAACATTTAAACTCACATCATGTCAATTGAGTCGTAACTAGGCCTGGCAATCAGGTTGGGTTCAGGTTGGCAGGTCAAAAAGCATAAACTCAATCCAACCCATATAATATATAGGTTAGCAGGATGGTGGGCCATAGGTTGGTGGGTTGGAAACCTCAACCCAACGCAACCCATATAACCCGTTTTAGTATATGGGTTTACAGGTTCACAAGTTAGTGGGTCGAAGTCAACCCATATAACTCGTTTAATAAATAAGCAACGCATTAAAAATGAGATTATTTCAACATAAAGTCATAAAGTGATTAAAGCAATTAACATCAAAAAAGAGGTTTTCAGCATAAATTCATAAAGTCATTAACATCCAAATAAAATTGAAAATTGAAAACATTCATACAAAGCGGATGTGTTCTTTGTGCATGACTTGTGAGTATCTAAAAATGACGATATGTGTTTTTTACTTTTTTTATTAGGGCACCACAAACGTAAGTGATCAAAGTTACTGTCTCGGTCAAAAATAAATCACACACACACTAGATAGCTAGGGTAAGTAAGGGTCGAATCTACGAGGAGATTATGGTCAAACCTTGTGTTAAAAATAGTCATAAAGAAAGAACTAATGCTTGTAATTGTTACAAAATCAAATTAAACTAAAACTAAACTAAACAGCTAGAAACTTTATATTGCAAAAGGTTGTTAAAACAAATATTATGAATAAGAAAATATGGTAGTTCCGGTTCAATTGTTCAGATGGTTTGACAAATACATTTTTCTGCCCTTATATTCCAATTTAATTACCTAGACATAATTAAGGTTCACTCACATGGAATAAATAATTTTGGGCACACATAATATTGGTTCAACTAATTGTCTTACTCCTTATGTCTAATTGGATTAGGAACAATTAGTGGTTTGGCGATAATGTGTCTTACGATTACCTATTAGAATGTTGAACATATAATAATACAAGTTTGAAATAGTGTATGTGGATTCAACCGATCATCTTAGTTCCTAAACTACTTGAATTCAAAATGAGTAGTGAATTAACAATACACCATCTTAGTTGCAATATCACATAATAAGAAAATCCAACTTCAATTACTATAAATAAAAATCAGAACTTTAAGCATGAAACAATAACTAAATTTAACTAGAATAAAAGTAATAATCAAAACATGTTCATCCTAGCATCCTACAACATTCCCGGAAGTAACCTAGGTGATTTAGCCTTCCCTACGATTAACAAAACACACAACTTCAATAAAAACAATGGAATTTATAGTAAAACTCACAGACCAACTTGAAATCATAAAACCAATGAAGTTTAATGATCAATCAACTTTGGAACGATGAAACCTTGGGGATGAAGTAATCAAATCTGGAGCTTGATGGAATTGATGTGGATCCGTCGGTTGAACGATCTTCAAACGTTGAAGGATAGCGAATTTGATGGTTTCACAACTTTGATTCGAAAATTGATGATTAGGAACGTGTTTGGAGAAGGTTTGAGTGTGTTTGGAAGCCTCCAAAACTGTGGAAATACCAAGAGAGAAGTCCTCCATTGATTAGGGTTAAATCTCCTTTAAATAGGTGTTGAAAAATATATTTTATGATCAATTTTCCACGTCGACGTCCCTGTAGGCATCTTAGACATTGTGTCAGACGTCTGGGCGTCCTTCGGGACATTTTAGATGTCTTCTTTCGTACTTGATTTTCACTTGAAAATGGCCTAAAATGGATAGACGACCTAGGAGGCATCTTTGACGCCTAATCCATGTCCTTCATCTTTCGAGCATGTTCCGGTGATGAAAACCGTAGAATCAATAAAAGCACAAAAAGATGAAAGTTGTGGTAAATTGTTTTTAGTTTCCGAAACTTCTTGAATCAAGTCAATCGGAGCTCCAGCGCTTGAGATATGACCAAAACAGTGAAGAGTGGTCCGTTTTCCCAGTGACATTTTCCTTCATTAATTCAACAATTCATCTCCTTGTTTGTTAGCCTCCTTTTTGCACATTTTGTTGCAGGTACCGCCCACTTTTAGTCATATAGAATTACCTGCACATAATGTTCAACATTTCATCAAAGTAGTGTCATTCTTGGGAAAAAAAAGTACTAAGTCAAATCAGACAAGAAATAGTAATGTATTTTTGTTGGTTTATCAAAATCATCATTTTATACTTCCTACATATATTTTCTTATTTTCAGTGTTATTTACAAATTATGTCATTTGTTACCCCTATACCAACAGTAAAAAAATAAGAAAAGTAAGAATAAAAAAAAAAACACCAAATCATATCATGCAATAAATAGCAATCTACTTTGATTCGTTTGTCAAAAATCATCATTTTATATTTCTTACATGTATTTTATTATTTCAACATTATTTACATTTTATCCCATTTGTTCCCCTATGCTCATTTGTTGCCCGATACCAATAGTATATTTGTAAATTAATAAAAAAATGTTGCAAATATTTTATTAGTCATTGAGATTTCGAATAATGAATGAGTGTTTTTTTCTCTACCGTGGAATGAAAATGAAGAGTGATTGAGATAGTGAAGTTGAAGATTTGGTGGGGTGATAAGTTACAATGAAAAAAGTGACGTTTTAGTCGACAAAACATTTTTTCTTCCCAAAAATCATGCATCAAAAGTAAGAGTTTAATAACAATAAATATTTTTTTTACAGCCTATGCTCTTGTTTTGTGAGTGCGTCACAACTTCCATTTATTTAATATAAAAAAACCTCCAAAACTGATAATATGTTGCATTATACAAACTCATGACTTTTATATAATACGAGGACTTACATGTGTAATTAAATAATTACAGATTACAAAGTTCTTAAAAAGATATAAAATTGCAATTCATAAGTTTTTTTAAATTAATGGTATATTATTTTATTATATAATCAATTTTTTTTATAATTCTATTTAAAATTAACACCCGTGGGTTCTACGAGTTTTAACCGAGTGTGTGTGTGTGTGTGTGTGTGTATATATATATATATATATATATATATATATATATATGGGAAACCTCACAAAAACCCAATGTATTATACACTAACGCTTAAAAAAACCCATATATTATCAATTGGTACCATTTAACCATTATTATTTCAGAAACTGTGTAATCTATCTCATTTATCCGGTAACCCTAGGTTACCTGTTCTTATTAGTCTACGTGGATTACCTTCATTCTCTTTTAACTTGATATCGGTCCTTCTGTAAAAACCAAAAGGGAAAGCTACGTACACGAGGGAAAGCTTCTTTGAAGTGGTGGGAAACTTTCTACTCAATCACACGAAAAAAGGTAATCGATCATTCTTCTATTTCTCTTAATCAGAACATCAACCCGTCTTTTACCCCTAGTTCTTATTTTTGTTGTTTCCATTGATTCTTCAAGGAAGCTTTAACCAAAAACCATGACTTCAACTTCAAATGTATTATGTGAAGTTTATACAGAGGGTGTGAATGGAATAGACGACGAGTCTGATGAAGAAAAATATGTTCCTTCTTCAATGGACAAAACAATATGGGATCCTTTTTTGAATGACTTGGTACAGGGTGAAGTGGAGTTCCCTGAAAAAATCATCTGATGATGTTGAATTGACCCATTCAGATGAAGAATATGACAAAGGAGAGCATAAAGATCAAGAAATTGGTGGCCAATTTCTTGTACACAACCCTAGGATCCCTTGGAACAGAATGGAACCACACCTGGTGGAAAAATACGAAAGCCCGGAACAGTTCAAGCTTTGTCTAACAAATTATGCAGTGGCTAATGGATACCAATTGAGGTTTTCCAAGTGTGATCGTTCTAGGATATTAGTACGTTGTGCCAAAAAAATGATGAGAATAAGTGTCCATTTAGATGTTGGGCGTATTGGATGGGAAATGAACTAACTTGGCAAGTGAAATCTTTGGAAAAGAAACATGTTTGTGCACAAAAATACAGCCTTGGGTCATTGATAACTCCAAGTTGGATTGCTAACCATTACCTTAGCGACCTAATTCGCAATCCCAAAACGAAAGTCAAAGAAATGAAAGCTGATTTTTTACAAAGATATTCTTTAAAGCTTAGCAAAGGTTAGTGTGAAAGGGCAAGGATATTAGCATTTACACTAATTGAGGGCAAGTTAACTGATCATTATGCTAGAATATGGGATTACGGTAATGAAGTTTTGAGATCAAACCCAGGAAGTACTGTTGAAATTGGAGTTGATGTCAATCCGGATGCAAAATATTTCAAAAGAATCTACATTTGTTTGAAGGCTTTAAAAGAAGGATGGTTGAAAGGATGTCGTAAGGTGATTGATTTAGATGGATGTTTCTTGAAAGGGAAAGTTAAAGGAGAGTTGCTAGCTGCTATTTGTAGAGACGGAAACAACCAAATTTACCCTATTGCATGGGCGGTTGTAAATGTAGAAAATAAAGATAATTGGAAGTGGTTCATTGAATTACTACAATCAAATATTAAAACAGTTCAAGGAAATGGACTTACTTTAATATCAGATCAACATAAGGTAATTTTCTACCTAGTAATGCTTATTTTGACCAATATGGATATATGTTAACAACCTTATGTCAAAACAGCCCCTATTGACACTTTTTGGACATTTTTAACAAATTTTGACATATTTAAAATAGCAAAACAACCCTTATGTGAAAATAGCCCCTATTGACATTTTTGACACCTTTTTAACAAACTTTGACATATTTGAAATGACAAAACAACCCCTAAGTCATAACAACACCTGTTGATATTTGTTTGAGACTTTTTAAAATTGTATGACATATTTAAATGCAGGGTCTTCTTGAAGCCGTAAAGGAGGTGATGCCACATGCTGAGCACCGACAATGTGCCCATCATATTTGTGCCAATTTTTACAAGCGTTTCAGTGGAGAGATTTATAAAACCTTATTTTGGCAACCTACAAAGTCCATAATAAATCAAGAGTTCAAAAACAGTATGGAAAAGATGAAAGAGTTGAACAATGATGCATATGACGATCTCATGAAAAGAAATCCTAAAACATGGTGTAGGGCCTATTTTGAAACAGATAGGGCATGTGAGGTTGTAGAAAATGGAATGTTTGAGTCTTTTAACTCTTCAATAATTGGTGCTAGGGGAAAACCTTTGATAACTATGTTAAAAGAGATTAGACTTCATGTGATGGAGAGGTTTGATGCAATGATAAGGAATACAAATTCATGGAAAACTATTGTTACTCCAAACATACTTAAAAAGATGAGAAAATGGCACAAAAACATGAGATGTGGATTGTTTTCCAAATTCGATTGTTCTATAATAAATTTTAAAAATATTATACTAGCTTTACATATTTGCTAGGAATTGGATTGTTATCCCAAGTGTGTCTCTATTGGAGGTTAGAAATGGTTATGAAGGATATATGGTAGACTTGGAAGGTTGAGCATGCACATGTAGACGATGGGTGTTGTCTGGCCTTCCATGTGTACATGCATGCGCAGCTATAAACCATACCCATCAAAATCTTCTTGACTATGTAAGTGATTGGTTCAAGAAGGAAAAGTATCAATTGGCTTATAGCACTTCCATTGTCCCCTTAAATGGAAGCAATTTATGGTTTTAAACTTCATATGATAAGTTATTGCCCCCAAAAGAACGTAGGATGCCAGGAAGGCCTTCTATTAAAAGAAAAAGACACAAGAATGAAAAACAAACAAAGTATCCAACCGTTTCGGGTAAAGGGAAAATAAAGAAGTGTCACAACTATTTACAAGAAGGTCACAATGCTAGTACATGCAAGAATGAAAAGATTGTGCCCCCTCCTAAGGAAAAGAAGCCTCCCAGTAGGCCTAAAAAAACAAACTCTGATGAAAGACCTCCGAGATGACCATCTGCAGCTACAAGTGGTGGTAGAGGCGGAAAAGAACCAATTGGGGCAAGAGGTAAAAGAGGATCATCTGCAGGTACAAGCGGGGGTGGAGGAGGAAGGTCACTTATTGATGAAATCTTTGACTCACCAATGGAAAATGAAGTTATAGACATGTTTGATAATTTTGAGGAAGAACTGCGTAGGGCTAAAATGGAAAGGAGAGAAGGAGAACCTTTGTTGCAATTCCTTGAATCTCAATTTGATGAAGGAGTTCCTATAACTCAATATGATGGAGTGGTCGAAACTCAATATGTAGTGCCTGAAACTCAATTTGATATTGAAAATGGTAAAAATTATATATATATATATATATATATATATATATATATATATATATATATATTGTTGGACTAGTGTCTAAGTCCATAACTATTTTGGTATGCACTTGACCCGATGGTGCATGGTCCTATTGGGTTGCCTTCACCAAAGCAACTTGATAGGATGAATTATGGAGATAGAGGATTAATTATGATTTATTAATATATTATGAGAATAATATATTAAAGGAGAAATCACATTGTTTAATTAATATTAGTCAATAATTAATTAAGAATTAATTTTATGGCTCAAAGATATTAATTAAACTTAAGGGACTAGAACTGTGAATTGTGTCATAGTTGAATATTGGGCTAATGGACTCCATAGAGGATGGAGTGGATGAATTCTATGGGGAAACCCATTAGAAATCATCCAAGGCCTCTAAGGAGGGAGTCCATGGGCTGCTTAGGGCCTAAGCAGTCAAATTAGGGTTTCCTTTTTAGATAACCCTAATAGCCTCACTATTTAAGGATCCCTAGGGCACCAAAAACGTGGCTAAGAGTTTCCTTAGGGTTTCTACACGTTTTTGGGTGCCCCCTCTCTTCTCATTCTTCATCCTCTTGCTCTTGGTGTTTGTGAGCCATTAGAGGAGTGACACTTGTGACTCTAAGCTTTCTAAAGCCATTACAAGGAGGATTTGAGATTGTTATTGCTACATAACAATCACGATAAGATCTAAACCCCATTCTTATGTTAATATTGATTACCATATGCTAGATTTAGGGTTTAAAGTCTTGGATGAGTTGCATGTACAATAAAGAAACCTAGATCCAAGCATTAGGGTTTGTATATGCACATAGGATGTTCTTATGGCTAAAACCCATCAGTGGTATCAGAGCCTTGTTTATTTATTGAATCCTTAAAATCGTTTTTTGTGCCTCTAACTGATGAACTCGGCGAGTTCCATTATGGACTCGGCTAGTAGCTCCAACTCCGCGAGTTCATAGTGGAACTCGGCGAGTTCAAGCGTCAGTTAGAGCTGATTTCGGGATTTCTTGCTGTTTTGCTTGAGGATACTTGCCTTAATTGCTTTGGGTCATTAATATCCAAATTTTATCATATATTTGAGTATATCCTTGACCAAGCAAAAGAAAATTACCATTTGATTGAATGATAATTTCCTTATATGATAATAATTGATTATTTGAATTAAATTGGTAAGTTGTCTTGCAAGTAATATTGACTAGGTCAAATTTAGATAATCATTAAATTAATTGTTTAATTTAAATTTTTTGCTATTTGATCCTTTGTGTTTTGAAAAGTTTCAAAATTCGCCCTCAAGTTTTGGAATTTAAAATTTTCATTAAAAGGTTTGATTTTGAAATATTTAAATTCTAAACCCTAATGATTTGAAATGTTTCAAAACTTGTCCTCAAGTTTTGGAATTTAAATTTTAATTAAAAAGTTTAATGTTTTAAATGTTAAATTCTAAAACCCTAAGTTTTGAAAAAGTTCAAATTGCACCCTTATGGTTTTATTAAATTAATTAAGTGTATAATTAAAAGAGAGTTGATAAATCCATAGTGAAATGGTTTACATTTAATTAAATTAAAAATATAATTTATTAAATTAGACCAACTAAGACAACCCCAAAATCACGGCCAGAAAAGACCGGTTTTGTTTATACTTTATTTCAAAATCAGAGTAATCTTTTAATAAAAGAGTTGCGGAATTTATCCCAAAACAATATTATGATAAAGATTTATCAAAAGCATTTCCATAGAAATGTATTTCATTAAAAAGACTCGGGATGTCATGTTTGATACAGTACATAAGTATAAACAATACAACAAAGGCCTTACTACCTTATTATGTAGTTACAGGCCTAAAATCCATTAATCTCTCATCCCAAGACATCACATCTATACTCATGGACCACTACCTATAATACAAGAAACTGAGTGGGTCATGCTTGGGAGCCTAGTGAGCACATAGGGTTTTCAACCCACAATAAATAAGTTTATTAATTTTATCAAACCAAATAGACCCGATTACTTATTCCCGTTATCCTCACTTTACGTCCCTAAGACATCTAACACAAGGGACCTAGTCTAAGGACTATCATCGGGATGGACACTACTGCTAAGGGGATTCCTCAGCAATAAATGTCCTTAAGGAAACCATGTGGGGGATGGAGTACATCTGGTGAGCACACAGTTCAAATAAACACACAGTTCGAATAAACACCTACAGGTTGCGAGCCTGCTAGTGTTCCACTGGACTGTCTAGAATAGTCCGTGGTCGTCATCTACACTCCGCTAGATGACTAGATCATCAATAACATCTATAACGAGGCCTCTCATTATTTCATTTTATCACACAACAACTAATACATCTACCCATGTTTTACCCCAATATTTTCGTAGATATAAAATACATATACAGTTTTAATCATTAAAAACATGTATAAAAATGTTCATCCAGCATAGATAGCAAGTATACAGATAATATGCACACATAGCACATAATGTATATAAAATACTTCATATCTATGTGTAAGCTGAAAGTAATTATGCACTCACTTGAAAGGTGGTGACTCAACACTCAGACAGCGCTTCGATACTCTCAAACGATTTTTCCTTTGATAAAACCTAGTACCAATAACACTAGGGTTTAGTCTAACGATAACCGCGACAATTTAATTAGTCTGACTATTATTATTATTATATAAGCATTAATAACACTCAATATAACTCATAATAATAGCCCAAACAATTATTTTAAGGACCTAATAACATTCCTATAATTATTTGAAAGCTATATTAAAAATTGTGTAAGCGTAGCACACTTACAGCGAATTTTATCGAAAATCGGAATTTAATTGGAACAGCGTTTCGAAACCGAAAGGCTCTTTTTCTCGGGACTCCGGGAGCCTTGGGGCTTCCCTCGGGAGCTAGGGGTTTTATCTAGGGCTTAGGGGGGTTTATAGCACTTAGAGAGAGAAAGATTTTAGAGAGAGAATGAGAAATGGTGTGAAAATGAAGGCTGCCCTCGTAGCTATTTATAGGCGCCAAGCCTCTCGGATTACGCTGGGCGTACTCTCGGATAGGGTTACAGGTGGATCCAGCTGGCTCGCACTCGGTCTTGGACGGATAAGGGCGAGGTAGGTGGGGCGTTTCAGATCTTGTATGCGGGGCGTAGGGCGAAGGCGAGGCGATGTGGCGCTAATCAGAAGGGTACTCTGCGATTGGCGATGGACGACTGCGATGAGGCCATGTCATCCATTTCGCATTAGACTTCGCAATTTACATACTCAACTTTAAAAATTCGTAACTTTCACATACGAGCTACGTTTTCGACGTTCTTTATATCCACGCGAAGCTGGGGACATACTCTACAACTTTTGTTTAGACACCATCGGCTAATTTTGACTCAATTTTTAAATTTTATATTACTAACAGGCCGAGACAGGATTGGTCCGTTAAATCCTCATAACTTCTTCATCTGACGTCCGTTTTCGCCCATCTTTTTCTCGTTGCGCTACTTTTAACGAGATCTTCGATTCTCGTTTAGGTTGCATCGGCTAAAAACCGTTCGATCTAATATTCGAATTTCGGATTGTACACTGCTAATTCAAAACTTCGAATTCTCGTTAATTCTGAGATTGGAATTATGTCAGGAACATCTCCCATGAATTTCCTCAAATAACACACATGGAAGGTGTTATGTATACCATCGATTTCTTTGGGCAATTCCAACTTGTAAGCTTGGTTCGCTATCTTCTAAAGAACTTTGAATTGTCCAATAAACCTTGGACTCAACTCCCTCGTTTTCAGAATCTTATAAGTCCCTTACACGGTGAGACTTTAAGCAAAACGGAATCCCCAACTTCAAAAGTCATTGGTCGTCTTTTCTTGTCAGCATAGCTCTTCTGACGATCCTGAGCTGCTAACATCCTTTCCCTAATCACTTTCAACTTCTTAGCAGTCTCATGGACTATCTCGGGGCCCATAAACTGCTTCTCTCCAGCTTCAAGCCAACAAGACGGCGTACGACACTTCTGTCCATACAAGGCTTGATAAGGTGCCATCTTGATGCTTGAGTGGAAACTATTGTTGTAGGAAAATTCTATTAGAGGTAAGTGCTCGTCCCAATTCCCTTGGAATTCAAGGGTACATGCTCTTAGCATATCTTCCAGTGTTTGAATCGTTCTTTCGCTCTGACCATCGGTTTGCGGGTGGTAAGCAGTACTCAAACACAACTTTATACCTAACTCCTCTTGTTGACTCCTCCAAAACCTCGATGTGAAACGACTATCACGATCTGATACAATCATAAGAGGAACACCGTGAAGTCTTACTATCTCTTTCACGTAAGCATTCGCGAGCTTATCCATAGACCACTTCTCGTTGGCCACTATGAAGTGTGCACTCTTAGCGAAACGATCTACGACTACCCAAATCATGTCGTGTCTGTTCTTCGTCCTGGGTAGTTTAGTCATACTATCTCTTTCACGTAAGCATTTGCGAGCTTATCCATAGACCACTTCTCGTTGGCCACTATGAAGTGTGCACTCTTAGCGAAACGATCTACGACTACCCAAATCATGTCGTGTCCGTTCTTCGTCCTGGGTAGTTTAGTCATAAAATCCATGGTGATGTCTTCCCATTTACCCATGGGTACAGGTAAGGGTTCTAAACTCCCATACGGTTTCTGATGTTGTGCCTTAACTCTCGCACATGTCACACACTCGGCCACATACTTCGCAACATCAAGCTTCATCATTGGCCACCAGTAATAGAGTTTTAAGTCCCTATACATTTCAGTGCTACCGGGATGAATCGAGTACATGGTCTTGTGTGCTTCTTCCATCAGAAGGTCTCTTATTCCTCCCGTCTTAGGTACCCAAATCCGATCTTGGAATACCTTCAGTCCTCGACTGTTTGTACAGAATACTAACGTTTTGCCCAAACGTTCTTCCTTTCGGTCATTCTTCTCTAAAGCTTCTTCTTGGGCTTTCCTGATACTTTCCATAATTGTCAAGACGACTTCAATTCTCAACACTCTTGGCCTTTTCCTTTCAAGATTGACTTTCCGACTGAGAGCATCAGCAACAACATTTGCTTTACCTAGGTGGTAAAGTATCTCACAGTCATAGTCCTTGAGTAGTTCTAGCCAGTGTCGTTGCCTCATCTTCAACTCCTTCTGATTAAAGAGATACTGGAGACTCTTATGATCAGTGAACAACTTGCACTTCGTGTCGTAGAGATAATGCCTCCATATCTTTAGAGCAAAAACTACCGCTGCCAATTCCAGATCATGAGTGGGGTAGTTCTTTTCGTGCTTTTTCAATTGTCGAGATGCGTATGCTATCACATTTTCTCTTTGGGTCAGAACATAACCCAATCTGACTCTAGAAGTGTCA